TGTGAACACATTTGGGACTAACAGGGTTTACTAGAATCCCACCACTCCACCACAGAGTCACCGCAGTAGACGTTAGATGAGCGCTGTCGCTCCGCGGCACTTGTTTATATTATAAGTGAATAAGAAATACAAACTTCTAGCCATATATATGTACATATATATATAATAGTGTATAGGTGTTGCGCAAATAACATGAGGAACTTAGGCTCATAGGGTCTATGTCTCCCAGGGTACTATCGGAGGGTACCCTGGGTACGGTTTGATATATCGGAAAGTACCTCGGGGTACTATACATTATGTCGCTGCCTACCCTGCATTGTCCCACCGTACCCTGACTTTCAGCCAACTGATGTCGTAATACATACAGTCTGTCAAGTTACCACATCACATAGAAGAAACCTCAAAACATCGCAATCCAATACAAATGTATGTTTGACTATTTTTTTTTTTTTTTTTAAACGAAGAGCTAGCTTTTATATTTTAGTTTTACAACATCGGAAATACGTCATATATAAAGTCAGGGTATACGGTGGAACAATGCAGGGTACGCATGCAGCGACATATCGTATAGTACCCTGAGGTACTTTCCGATATATCGAACCGTACCCAGGGTACCCTCCGATAGTACCCTGGGGGACATGCATAGACCCTATCAGCAAAACTTAGAAGTAAAAGATGATGCAATGTTCCTTTTAATTGTTAATTTCTTCCCATATTATTTAAGTGGTAGCAGCAAGGTAAGAATGTTGGTTATTAATTTGCAATTGCAGATTATGACAGAATGATCTTCGCAGAGATAGAAGCTGTAAGTATATGCTTGAGCACATATATGCTAGCATGAATGTAGAGCTCTGTAGATATGTTCATGATCCTAGTGTGTATATATATATATGTTCACCGTATATGCAATGTCAGACGTTCTAATCGATGGCAATATTAAATGTGCTCGATGTATTCTAATTGCATAGGTTTATGGTTTTACTATCTAGTAGATGTCTATACAATCCACTCTAATAAACAACTATACTGACTGTTAAAAGTAGAAGTTTATTAAAATTATTAGCCTGTACTCAAAGATATATTGTTACATAATAGTGATTTTGATATGTGTAACATTTTTTGCAGACACATTTTTCAATGCCTTATTTTTATTAAGCTTCTATCTGCCAAATAACTAGAGTAATCGTTCATGTTTGCCTTAAGATGGGGTACAAAGATAGTGACACCATCAAACCTGAGGATCTCTTTGAGCATGACATGATGCATTTCATGGGCACAGCTCCCATGGATGCAGCTATCCAGCATTTGAAGATAGAGTAAGCAGTGTGTTTAAAGGGATATTTCTCTCGAACTTTCAAGCGGCGTACATAAAATCAGGCAAAAATGAATTCTTTTAACATTGCACGCTTCTACTTGCCTATATATGTGTGATAGGTCAGAAGAAATTTTTCAGGAATACGTTCATTCAAAGCTTTTAGACTACAAAGTGAAATGTTTGGGTCGAATGTTTCAAACGCGTTTACTGTTGCCGCTATGCAGCGATTGTTCCGCTCCGCACTCTTGCCGTGTTATGTATGTATGAACCATGCTATGTAAAATTATACACACTGGTAGGTTATGACCCAATGGTTTTTCTGGTCACGTACATGGCTAGCTGATAGGGAAAGCGCAACGTTTTAGTTGCTGGAAGATTATAGTATATTCTGAGCGAGTTAACGAGTCAGTGAGTCGAGACTTCTGTCAGGTCGCTGTTAGTTCGGATTACGTTTTGTTGGGTTTTTAGCATGTTCTATCTCGAAAACGGTTAGGGTAAAAATTCTGAAATTAATAACATAAACAGTCGAGGTGCCTCTCTGTCTAGACTATAAAGTTTCTAGACAAGTCAATATGTCATGCAATAGCGTACATTTCAATACATGAAATACAAGGTAAAGCAGGAGGTGCAGGAGTACCACAGATTACAGGTATTTTATACATAGTAGATGCGCACCTATATAATACAGAAATAACGTTGTTAGACATATTACCTGCTATGTTATATAGAGGAAGAGAATGAACTGACTAAATATTATATTTAACATAATCCAATAGCTCAAGAACTGAATTTGTTCAGCACACATGTTTATTGGTGTAGTTCGCAAAGAAAAGAGTCGGACATCGGAAAGACCTCTGATATAAGCTATGATATGCATATTACCCCTATTGTTGACCTCTGGTATATATACTGATCTGTGTATTGGACAAATTAGAATCGAGTCCAGGAAGTCTAATTAGTTTTGGAAGCTGGGAAATAGTCCGATTTTAACCGGGAAATCTGGGAGTCTTGTGCCCTTCTATAAGCTGTATAGGTCATATTGGTTCACTAGTCAATGTTAATGAGCCTGCGTAGCACATAAGAGAGAATTGGGTATCACTGTGTAAATTGAATATGCGATGACGTTGGAATTAATTAGAAATCCAGACACTGTATAACGAAGTTACGCAACGCAGAAATGGCTAGATCTGCGGAGAGACTGCTCGCACGGAATGTAAACAGTGGATCGCACCATTGAACACGAAACCGAGGAGTGCCTCACACGTGCAAGCATTCAGATGCGACCGTGTCACAAAGGCCGATCGGCCGGAGTCGAGGATCTTGGTATTATATAATCAGGACCTATCAATATAGAGTCGTATTGATAAGACTCGCTGAATATTATCTGATCGCATGAAACTATTCGGGGGCGGAGCATCATTCATAGTTCAGGTAGCTTGTTATAAGGGGTATTGAGCTCCTGGAACTGGATGAATTGGAATTCTTTTATTAGATTTTTTATTCGATATAATAAAGAAATACGCAAACATTCTGCATAATGATATGTAATATAGTATTAATGTGTAGGTGTTGCAGCAATTAACATGTAGGAACTATTAGAGCTCATAGGGTCTTATGCTCCCCTGTACTATGAGAGGTACCGCTGGGTACGTTTGGATATATCGGAAAGCACCTCGTGACTATACATTATGGTCGTGCTCCCCTGCATTGTCCACCGTACGTGATTCGTCAAATCATAGCACTCTGTCAAGTACCACATGACATAGAGAAACCCTCAAACATCGCAACTTCTTCAATTAGCAAAATTGATAATGTTGACCTATTTATTATATATTTTTTTTTTTAAACAGAAAGAGAGCTAATGCTTTATGGAAATTCTTAGTTATTTAGCAGAATCGGAATACGTCATATATAAAGTCAGGCGGATACGGTTGTAAGACATGTCAGAAAGGACGCATGCTAAAGCGAATAATCAGTATGAAGTAGTTAGCCTGAAGGTAATTTTCGATTATCGAACCGTAACCAGGTACCATCCGATAGTAGCTCCACTGGGGACATGCATAACGCCCTATCAGTCAAATTAAGAAGTAAAAGATGATGCAATCGTATCCTTTTAATGTTAATCTCTTCCATATGATATTAATGTGAGTAGCCCAGCAGGTAAAGAAGTTGGCGTTATTAATTGCTAATTGAGATTATGACAGAATATCTTGCAAGAATAGAATGTAAGTATAATGCTTGACCACATATATGCACTAGTATGAATTTAGAGATTCTGTAATTGTTCATATCCTAGTGGTGATATATTACTAATATAGTATATATATGTATATATATGATATATACTAACTATTAATATAATCACTTTATGAAGGAGCTTAGATAATAGGAGGAGTGTGACATCAAATAAAACAAGGAAATTCGTCTTTACTACGCTAGCGATGTACTACGCGTACATCATCTAACTTGAAGTCAAATCGACACAGTACATTCGCCCATCATCTGTACGAAATCGTTTCCTCGTAGAAGAGCCAACTCCGTAGATACAGCCTAAATACGCTACGACACTATTCTCCATTTTCTGGCCATTATATCCAACGCCCATTGCACGCTATAATTCGACAAAAGAGCCGCAACATGGCGTGCAGTCGCTGTGTTTGGGCTCTCTATGGATAGACTGAATGTAGGCTCTGTGGCTCGAGGAGATTGAGATGACGGCAACACTCGACGAGCTAATCATTGTTGTGGATGCGAAGCAATGCCAAGCTAGTACAAAGGTATGGCTGTGTAGCATGTGTACCGGGTCAAAGTATCTCGCGAGGGTGATGCTAAACTCTGCCCAGCGAGCCACATGCCCCTCGTTAGCAATAGCGCTTATATGGTAGGCCTTTTGTCTTGAATTACTAGGCGCGAATGGTGATTGATGGCCAGAGATGGAGAATCGTGTGTACGTTTTAGGGCTGTATATACGGATTGGCGGTGCTACGAGGAAACGAATTTCAATGATGGCGAATGTAACTGTGTCGATGTGGGCTCGTAAGGGGATGATTTGTACGGTGTTAGTATAATGCGTTATTGTATTATAAGGCTTAGTAATACGAAGTTCCTGTTTATTGATGTCCGGAACTCTCCCGTATATCTAGCTCCAAAATATAATAACACTGTTCCCGTATATGCATTGTGCAGAGAGTCGGGTGCTAATCAGAGGGATGCAATATTAAAGTGCTCGATTATTCTAATTGATTTAGTTTATAGGTTTTACTAATCTAGTAGAGTAATAGATTATTCCACTGCTAGATAACATCTATAAACTGATGTTAAATTATGTAAGAAGTTAAATTAAATTATATTAGCCTGTAGACTCAAAGAATATAATTGTTAGCATAATATGATTTGATAGTGTAAATTTTTTGCAGACAACATTTTTCAATGCTTATTTGTACTGTGAGAGGCTTGCTATCGCAAATATACTAGAGTAAATCGTTTCATGTTTGAGGCCTTTAAGAGGGGTGAGCGAGAAATAGTGACACCATCAAAACATTGAAGGCAATCTCGTGTGAGCATGAGATGGCATTCATGGGCGAGCGGACTGCAGGATGCAGCTATGCGAGCATTTGTGGAAGGTGGAGTATTGGCAGTAGGGGGTGTTTGAGAAAGATATCTCATCTCTCGAACTTCAAGCTCAGTACATAAATAGCAAAAATGAATTCTCTTTAACATTGCACGCATTCTCGCTTGCCTATATATGTCGTGATAGTAAAGAAATCTTTTCAGGAATACGTTATTCAAGCTTTTTAGACTAGGCAAAGTGAAATGTTTTGGTCGAATGGTTTCAAACGCGTTACTGTTGGACGTATGCAGCGCTTAGGTTTTATGACCCAATGTTTTTCTGTCATACATGGCTAGCTGATAGGGAATCGCAACTTTTAGTTGTGGAAGATTATAAGTATAACTCTGAGCGAGTTAACGAGTGAATAGTCGAGCTTTTGTCAGGTCAGCTGTTAGTTGATTACGTTATTGTTGGGTTTTTAGCACGATTTTATCTGCAAAACGGTTACGGTAAAATTCTGAATATATTAATAACATAAACGTCGGCTCGCTTTCTGTCTAGACTACAAAGTTTGATTATAAAAAGGATTTATATTGAAGTTATGATATCTGAAAGTGGCTACATGACTCGACTGCAAATGAGGGGTCACCAATTTAAAACATAGGCGCTTACGGAACGGCGAAAAGCGTTTTAGAGGTTTCTTCGATAGCGAAAATATAGGCTTGATACATTATTTGTACAGCTTTAATTTTCAAGCTAACGTTCAAGTAAAGTGTAGTGAGTATTTACTGACGTATTTACAGTGGTTTGTAACAAATTTATGTGAAAGTTCGAGGTGAAGTTAATATTAACTTACTTAATACTGTTGTGCGTAGTCAATTTTACATTTCAATTCAGTAAATGAATGATTTCATCATTTACAGATTAATTAAATGGAATGTGCCTTGCATGCTGCTTATTTGCTAGGCGAGTCTTTTAGCAGTCTCCACTAAGTATATTGGCTGCAGGGTCTATGTCCGATCTCACTGTGGATAGCTATAGACAAAGTCGATAGACGAATATTGTCAAAGGGTTATAAGTTAGAGTTAGGTTAAGTTAGATATATATGGTTTACTAGTGCAACCCATATGATTTATAGTGATCGTGGATGTGCGTCATATTTACTTAAACGGCACCGTGATGTCAGATCGTAGCTGAGCTAGGACGCAGATC